CGGGCATTCTAGGGGAAAGAGCAGCTCAGATAGAGAAGGGAGCACCAAATAAAGGGTGTTTGGAGGATCCTCCCAGGAGGGGAGATGCATGTTGAAAGTAGACTATGGACTGAACATGTTTGCCACTCAAAGCCTCTTTTGCAGACCACAACACCCAAAAGGAGAGAGAGAACACAGGGGATTGCCCTGCCACAGAGGCAGGGTGAGATGGGAGGGATGGGGATGGGAGGGATATTATCCATGGTGATGGAAAATGGGCACTGGTGGAGGGATGGTTATTTGATCATTGTATAATCGAAACCCAAGCACAAAAAATTGTAAATCTACAACTGTACCTCAAGGTGTTTCACTAAAAATAATTTTAAAAACTCATGCATAAAAAAATAAATAAAATTGGGAGAAAAAAATCACTTAAACTATAAATAGCTTGCAACTGGAGGTGGATGGGAGGTTATTTCACTGTACTCTATAGTGTTCAAAGGGAACATGTGAAGTCTTCATTTAAGTGTTTACAGAATTGTGATAATTAACTTCCTAACTGTAATTAAAATTGATCAAAATACAATCACATATAGCTTAACAATGGGAATGTGTTCTGAGAAAAGCATCATAAGGTGATTTCATCACTGTGTGAATGTCATAGAGTGTTTGGCAATTTTACTGTTTCTCCAAGCCTTTTAAATCCTTTGAAGACATGGATGAACCTCTTCAGTGCCTTCTTCCAGATGACAATCATATACTCCTAAGTGACATCACCCCAAGCCCAAGTTAAGGTTCTTGAAGTAATTTAGATGTTGTATAATTTTTCAGAATTGCATCAGGGTCTTCTCAGTGTTCTTTCATTTATAGCAATAGCCTGGGCAAAGGTCCATTAGTTAAATTAAAGTGGAATTTTTTTAGTTAGTGTTTGTTTTCAAGAAATCCTTCTTACTGTTTTGTTTGTTTTAGTGAATCAAGATAGTTTTTATTGAATGAAGTTTACTTAGAAAGATGAGGGTGGGGAACAGAAGGAAAGGAATATGTGTTCCTGTTTGAGAAAATATGAGCTTCGAAGAACAAGCAAACAAGCAAGCAGAGACCTAGAAACTAGCAAGCAAGATACCTGTTCAACGAAGAACTGGCTAAAAAAGAAAGCTCATACTGTTTTCTAGAAAGGCTAAGGCTGAACAAGGGGAGGAAATGTCAACACTGTTGCAAACATGTTATCTTAAGTACATCAACAAAATTTCTCCAAAGGAGAAACATCACTTTAATAATGGGTAAAGATGCCGGGGCTGAAGCTCTAGTACAGCAGGTAGGGTGTTTGCCTTGTATGCAGCCGACCCGGGTTCGATTCCCAGCATCCCATGTGGTTCCCTGAGCACTGCCATGAGTAATTCCTGAGTGCAAAGTCAGGAGTAACCGCTGTGCATCACCGGATTTGACTCCCGCCCCCCCCCCCCCCCGCCAAAAAAAGAATAATGGGTAAAGATGCCAATAAAAGCATATCTGGGAAGATTAACAATAATAAACAAATCTTAAAGGTACACTATTCTCTAAACAGTACTTTTGCATTTTACAAGCATAACAATTTAGGAAGACAGTTTGGAAGAGAAACTGGACATCCATAAAATCTTATTGCTAAGGTAGGCAGTGTGTGTTTATGGTATTACAGTTTACCAGACCACAAAAGGTTTTCATTTGCAGCCTGCAACACTGCTCCCAAGAAAAGCTATCATTCTATCCTTAAAAACCTTTAAACCTGGGGGATGGAGAGATAGCTCAAAGGACTGGAACACATGTTTGGCATTGAGAGCCCTGCGTTCACTCCTAGCACTGCATGGTCCTCTAAAAACTACAAGGTGTGGTCCCAAACCCAAAATTAAATCCCTTGAAACATGTCACTGATTTGGCTTCCTTCACTACGAAAATCCTTTCAAACATCAGCTGCTAAATAGGGATGTTTCATACGTAAGATTGATTTTGACAAGTAACTTTCCCCCTATAATCAGCATAGTAGCTTCTAAAACATTTTTAGCTGCCACTCAGTTATATGTCATGTGCTAATTATTTGTTAATCACTTAAAGCTCTCAGGATATTCAACATCATAATCTGTTTTCTCTCTAAACAAACATTTCTGTTTTATTATCATTATGGTGATGAGATAAATATACTTCTGTATCTGGTCTTCAGTGAGTTGATTAGAAGTTTATTTGTATCTGATATACAAGCTTCACAAATTGTTGTTGATTTAACTGCTTTCAAGAAGCAGATCCTCTATAACTTCCATCACTTTTTTCTTTCATTCCTTAAGACTGTAGGTGAGGTGAAATGGAAATGCCTGACTCCTGTGCAATGACAAAGTTTTACTTAATGAGGACTAATACTGGCATCATTAGCAGTGGATTTTGTACACTTAGCCACAAAACACGAGATTAAATGAAACACAAGAGGAAAGGACAGTATAAAAAGATGCAGTGAACATGAAATGAATGAAGCTACTGGCCGGAGTGATAACACAATGGGTAGGGTGTTTGCCTTGCACATGGCCAACCTGGGTTCAATCCCCAGCATCCCGTATGGTCCCCCAAGCACCGCCAGGAGTTTTTCCTGAGGGAAAAGCCAGGAGGAACCCCTGAGCATTGCTGGGTATGACCCAAAAAGCAAAAAGAAAAAAAAAACCACTATAACTAGGAGACCAGAAACGTTCAAACTTGTGATTGAATCTTGAAAGAAAATAAATCTTTATATTAGGAAACAGAACTAGCACTTATAATAAGAACACATAGAACAAACAAAATGGGCATTCAGCAGTTTAAATACAAAGTACAGTTATCACATTTGTAGCTGGCCTTGGATTTCAACCATGTTTTAATCTGCACTTTTCTAATGATGTTGAGCACCCTTTTATATATCCTAGGCTACATCTATCTCTTAGGGGGAGGGGAAATACATACATACATACACACACACACACACATATACATATATACACGCACACACATACATATATATTTAATCCCTCAGGTCCTTTTTAAAGTACTGTTTTTTGTTGTTGTTGTTGTTGTTGTTGTTATGAGTTCTTTAAATTTGTGGATAACAGATACAGAATTGCCAACTATTTTTTCCAATTTGGTAACCTGTCTTTTCATCTCATTGATGGTATTTGTTGCTGTGTCAAAACTTTTGCTCTAATGTAGTCCCACTTGTCAATGTTTGCATGTTTCCTTTACTTGATTTTCAAGTTTTAAAAAAGTTTATTGTCTATATTTTCTTCTAGGAATTTTATGGTTTCATGTCTTATATTTCAGTCTTTAATTCATTTTGAGAACTTGTTTGGAGGTTCTAGCAGAGGAGCGCAGCTACTCGTATACCCGCGACAGAAGACAGGTCCATCTCTATTCGGGGAAGGTCATCCTCTTTGACCAGGCGTGCTTCGGGAGGGACGCACATGGGTTAGATTCCTCCGCCCTCTCAGCAAAGCAAACTACTGAGAGTATCCCGGCCGCATGGCAAAGCCTGGCAAGCTACCCATGACGTATTCGATACGCCAAAAAAAATAGTAACAAGTCTCACAATGGAGTCATTACTGGTGCCCGCTGGAGCAAATCGATGAGCAACGGGACGACAGTGCTACAGTGCAGTGCAATTCATTTTGATTTCTTTTTTGTCTGGTCCAGGTTTTTTCTTTTATAGAAGGTTATCCAGTTTTTCTAAAACCACTTAAAAAACACTACACTTTCCACATTGTATGTTTTTGTTTCCCTTGTCACAATTAATTGATCATAGATGCATGGGTTTATTTATAGGCTCTCTATCAAAGTGATTTTTTGAAATGTCCATGGTTATTTTTCAATGGCTTCTCTTTGCATTTAGGATGAAATTTAAACTCCTAACCCAGAAATCTAGCAGCCTGTAAACTCTTTGACTGTGTCCAACTCTCTCCAACCTCATTTCTAGATACTTTACGTATTACTTCATAACATTCCAAGCCAAGCCACCCTTCCTTTTTTTCCTTTAGTTCACTATATTTCTAAATCACTGGATGTGATACAGTTAATTTAACTTTTTTAAAAGATGTTTTATGCACCAACTTCAGTTTTAACTTGCTTTTGTACCTTCAGACAAATAAGTTTAACTTCTTTAGGTCATATGCTTCACAAATATGAGCAGTTTGGATAAGATACTCTTAAGAATCCTTCTAGAGGCTGGAAAGATATTACACCAGGTAGAATGCTTGCCTTACATGTAGACAACCAGAGTTCAATCCCTGGTACCCAATACAGACCCCAAGTCATTCGGAAATGATTCCTGAGCACAGAGCCAGGAGTAAGCCCTAAGCACCACTAGGTGTAGCCCAAAAACCAAAGGGGTGGGGGAAGGGAAATCCCTTTAATTCTAGTCATATTTCACAATTATAGAATGAAATATATGTCAAACTAAAATGTTCTGTGGTACTAGGCTAATGTCTATTAAGACTAGTGTCATTTCCTTTAAAACTTCTCCAGGGGGCTGGAGTGATAGCACAGCGGGTAGGGCGTTTGCCTTGCACTCGGTCAACCCGGGTTCGATTCCCAGCATTCCATATGGTCCCCTGAGTACCACCAGGCATAATTCCTGAGGGCAGAGCCAGGAGTAACTCCTGTGCATCGCCGGGTGTGACCCAAAAAACATATATATATATATATATATGATTTTAAAATTCTCCAAATTAGTGGGAGAATAGAGCAGCAGGTAGGGAGGGCATTTGTCTTGCAAATAGCACACCCAAGTTCAATCCTTGACAACCCATACCATGCTCCAAACCCCACCAAGAGTGATACCTGAACTGCAAGCCAGGAATAAGCCCCCAGCACCACTAGGTATAACCCAAAAAGCAAACAAATTCTCCTAATCTGAGTTTAGAATTCTTATAACCTAGTAAAACTGTTTTATACTGACAGAACTGCTATACTTAACATTTTACTCATTATTTCTTGATTGAACATTAAATTTCAACTGAACCAATAATGATGCTCACCGATACTGATATGTCCTCACTTTTTCTCTTAACACTGGAGTCGAACAAGACATTTCTCCCTCTTCTTTCACAGTCTTGATATACAATCAGTCGAATCTGGCTTGGATCAAATTCTGGCAAAGGCCAACTTTAAGAAAAAATAAGGATCCATTAGAGTTATTTTAATAAACACTGAACATAAATTACTAGAAATGAATCTTATATAATAAAACCCAGAGTGGTAGTTACCAAAGAATACATAACAGATTTATATAAATACTTAGTTAAGAGCTGAAAACTTATATACTAAGACATTTTAAATTAAAAAGTAAAAATAAAAGTTAAAACAGAAGTAGTGGAAAGTATGATCCAGCATATATAAAATACATGACTCATATGAATATAAAAATGACTAGTAATAAAATATAAGAACACAAAAATTTATTAGAAAATCCAGCAGAATTCAAGTTGACCCTGGCAATTTCATTACAGAAAAGTTTTCCATTATATAATAGTGCTCATAGCAGTACTGTTCGTGATAGTTCACAATTCAAATGTCCATCAACAGTAGAAAAGATTAAAATTACTGCATTTTATCCATATCAGAAAATAGAATAAATTAGGCTGGAAAGATAGTACAGCAGGTAAGACACCTGCCTCACATGCAGCCAATGGAGGATCTATTCCCATCACCCCATTTAGGAATAGACACACCAAGCCTCACCAGAAGTGATTCCTGAGTACAGAGACAGAAGCCCAGAGGGAAGGAGAGAGGGAGGGAGGGAGGGAGGGAGGGAGGGAAGGAGGGAGGGAGGGAGGGAGGGAGGGAGGGAGGAAGGAAGGAAGGAAGGAAGGAAGGAAGGAAGGAAGGAAGGAAGGAAGGAAGGAAGGAAGGACGGACGGACATAATGGGTGAATTTCAGCAATAAGCAGAAACATGAGTGGGCCATAAGCACATTGGACAATGATACACACTGACACCAAAACATACATACACATTATGCAAAGGTTTTAAACAGGTAAGTTTAAAAACACATTATCTAGAAACACATATTTAATCTTTAAAACTGTATGAACCACATGATGGTTAAAATAGTCTAATGAAATGAACGAACTACAACTAAGAACTAAGGACAATTGCTAAGAAGTAGAATTGAGGTTGGGGAGAAAGCTCAAGGAGCTGGATCACACAGGCTTTGCACGTGTTAAGTCCAGGTTCGATACCCAGCACCACATAGTACCCTGAGCCAATGTGCTGTTGTGTGTGGCCCAAAAAGAAAAAAAAAATTGGAGACCTGCTATACCAGGAGTTGTTTGTAAGTAGTTTGATATGGTTGAATGGTCAATCTTTCACAATCTGTCAGTCATGATTTTTTGTCAAGATTCCTTCATTTCCTTATGCCAACACTATTAACGCACATGAAATGATCTATAACTAACAATATAAAACATCCTTCCTAGATTTTTAACAATAAAACAACTTTTGTTTTCTCCTGTTGAATTCTTAGCAAATATTTGTATTAGGAACTGATTAAAGATGACACTTGGAATTTACATTAAATTAGAGATTTTATCCTTGGACCACACTAATTTTCATTCCAATGAACTACTTTTCCTGAATTGTGCTTTGATGTTAGAACAATTTCCCAAAATCCTACTCATTCTTAAAGATAAAGCTCAAATGTCACCACCTGAAAGTGATTACTAATTTCTCAAGGCAGTTAGCTGCTGATTTCTGGGATTAAACTTACTTTCTATTATAATTTTAATAGTATTTTAGGATTATATGCATTGTATTATATCTGCTTACATTCTGTACCTACTAACATATATACCTGTTTTTTTCTACTGGAAAGAAAACTCCAGAAGGAGCAATTATTCACCTTTAAATCGCAAGTTCCAAGCATAGTAGACAAATAAAACTATAAAGTCTGAAGTAAAGGTGAGCATTAAGCATTTCATAGACAGGCAAGCTACCAGATTCCATCATATGAAATCTGTAGAAAATTATCAACAAATTTATGAAAAAATTAGTTTGTAGCTCAGCAGAAACATTGACTAGAGTTCTATACACAGAGTTTACAGACACATAGTAGAAATCAAAACATTCAGAGAGAAAATACTAATTGAAAATAGAAGTAAAAAAAAAAAACATTAAACTAGAATTTTAGGGAACATCAATATTTTAAGGGCAGAAAGAGCAGCAAAGAGAAGGTGATCAGTAGTACAGTGGGTGAAGGCATTTGCCTTGCACATGACCGACACAGGTTCAATCCTGAGCATTCCATATGGTCCCACAAGCACTGCCAGGAATAATTCTTGAATACAGAGCCAAAACCTGAGCATTGCCAAGTACAGCCCCCAAACAAATAAACTATATATATATATATATATATATATATATCTTTTTTTTTAATGGTAGAGCCTGGCAAGCTACCCATGGCGTATTCGATATGCCAAAAATAGTAACAATAACAGGCCTCAGTCCCCTGATCCTGAAAGAGCCTCCAATACAGCAGCATTGGGAAGGACGAGTAAGAAGAGGCTGCTAAAATCTCAGGGCTGGGATGAATGGAAACGTTACTGGCACCTGCTCGAGCAAATCGAAGAACAATGGGACGACAGTGATATAGAGATATCTTTTTTTAATTAAAAAACAGCAGCAAAAAAGCCAGGTAAGTAGAAAGGGAAATGAGAAAACCCATGATAAAACACTATTTCAAAGTCACATAAGGAGCTAAGGATAGAACTCAGTAGTAGAATACATGTGTAATACGTGTAAAGCTCTGTGTTTAATCCCTAGCACCATGAAAAAAGATGGGAGGGAAGGGGAAAGGGAGTAAGGACAAAGGGAAATGAGAGGGGAGAGAGAAGAAAAGCAGAAAGGAAGGAATCGTGCACAGAGCCAAGATTTATAAAGACTACAAGTGTCTGTTCACCTTTCTTATTTCTTAATCTTTGGTATTTGCGAAGACCATTTCAGAGTGGCCAGAGATATATGACAGGAGGTACAGTGCTTGTCTTTGCATGCAGCAACACTGGTTTCAAATCCAGTACTACAAATAGTCCCCAACACATCACCAGGGGTCACCCCTGAGCAAAAATTGTCCCTGAGCACTACCAGAGGTGTGGCATAGAAAAACAATGAGCAGATAAATAAATACCATTTTAGTGGAGTGGTGGTTGAAAATAGCAACAGCAATAAACTGAAGGGAAAACAGCTAAGAAAATGAGATTTATACTATTTGAAATAGGCATGTACTATTTAGAAAGGTGTCCCTGTGCAAAAAGACAGAGGATGAGTGTGATCAGATTATTAACAATATATTATAAGATAATATTAACAATATATACTGCTCCGTTTCTAAAGTAAAAGGGGCGGCCTAAATACTCAAGAGTATTTAGATGATCGTGGGTAACAAAGAACTATGGTTACCCTAAAAAGGCAGCAGTAGTGAGGAAGATATATACATATATAATATTTTAGTACATATTATAGGTAAAGGTAAAGGTAAAGGCCCTCCCGTTGATCGTCGATTTGCTCGAGCGGGCCCAGTAACGTCTCCATTGGAGACTTTTTTGTTACTGTGTCTGGCATATCGAATACTCTCGGTAGCTTGCCAGGCTCTCTGAGAGGGGCAGAGAAATCGAACTCGGGTCGGCCATGTTGGCCGCTTGTAAGGTGAACGCCCTACCCGCTGTGCTATCGATTAGTATATATCTTATATATTATTTTATGAAATAAAAATTATGCTATTTTCCAAACTGATGGGAAATATTCAGAGCAAGATTCTCTGATCTTACTCTTGCTAACTATATTGAATTGTTGAGACTAAAATCCTCAACAAGTTATGACAAAGAATCCTGAATAAACCTAATAAACTGCAGTATATACTTGATAAGTCAGAAAAAAATCACCTTCAAGTAAAATTACTACAGGTAGCTTTACATGTTGTAGAGAAAAAAAAACTAATTCCTTAGATTTGATTTTTTTTTCTGAAAGTAAAAGTTAAATACATATGTATGAGATGGGAGACTAAACTGGGATATACAGTTTGAGAATTAGAAATCTGGCAAAGTTATCAATAAAAAATGGGCGAAAGTGCATAGTTATGTAAAGCAGAAAGACTGTTAAGTCATCTTAAGGGTCCAAGTTGAAAATTATAAATTTATTTTTCATTTGTTTGGGGGCCACATCCGGTGATGCTCAGGGTTACTCCTGATTCTGTGCTAAGGAATTACTCCTGGAAGTGCTCAGGGAACTATATGGGATGCCAAGTATCAAACCCAGGTAGGCCAGATGCAAGGCAAGAGCCATTCCCCCTATACTATCATTCTAGTCCCAAACATAACTTTATGAGAGAACTATTTCCTGTATTCCATCAAGAAAGTTTAAGTATGAAAGCAGAGTGGCAAGGTAGTAATGGATTTAATAGAAGAATCTCTAAGTAGCAGCAATGAAAAACAGGGTAAGGCTTATGACATTAATGAAACCAGAAAGAAAGGTTAGATTTATCCACAATGAAGTGGGGCTGGAGTGATAGCACAGCAGGTAGGGCGTTTGCCTTGCACGAAGCCGACCCAGGTTCGATTCCACCGCCCCTCTCAGAGAGCGTGGCAAGCTACCAAGAGTATCCCGCCCGCACGGCAAAGCCTGGCAATCTACCCATGATGTATTTGATATGCCAACAACAGTAACAAGTCTCACGATTTGTTGTGAGATGTCACTGGTGCCTGCTCAAGCAAATCGATGAACAACGGGAGGGCAGTGCTACAGTGAAGTCCAGTGAATAGAGGAAAAACGGGTGGGGGCAGGGTTATATAGTTCAAAGATCGTTAAAGAAAATGTTAGTACAAGCAATGTGTATCAGCAATAGCAGAGAGAAAGAGGGCACAAGGGAGAGAGAGACAAGGAAAGAAAAAATTGGAGACTGGAAAGATAGTACAGCAGGTAGGATGCTTGTCTCATATGTGGCTGACCCAGATTCAATTTCCAGCATCCTATATGGTACCATGCACCCCTAGGAACAACCCCTGAGCATTGCTGGGTGTGGTCAAACAGAAAAAAAAAAAAGTTGGAATAAAGATGTATAAGAGTTAAGCTGTGATCAGAATAGAAAGATCTTAAAAAAAAAAAAAAAAAGGAGG